GCGGCGAGGTGGCGACCAGAGCGGTGGAGTGCACGAAGCGGCGGTCGGGGTGTTAGTATTTCTGCCGCCGCGCAGGTTGGAAATGTTCAATTTTTGTCCTGAGCGGCAAAAAAACATCAATGTTTTGCAAAACGGTTTGCTTTTCACTGTTGCGCGGGATGTTTTTTGCTATCGTTTCGGCGCCCGCTTGGCGCGACGCGCTGGCTGGCGCGGGTCTGCGTTTGGCCCGCGACTGTTGCCCACATTTGTCTACGTTGCGTGTTACTTCGTTGCCTCCCCACTGGTGGGGCCCACACCTTGTCCGAGACATTGCCGTTTGTTGCGTTGCGTGATATGTGTCTGTCGTTGCTGCCCCGCGCGGCTCGGCGACGCATTGTTGTTTGTGTTGCCGTTTGGTTGTTTTGTGGTTGTTGCGTGAGCCTCAACGTTGGCAAAGCATTGTGTTTTGTGTTTTGTCCAGCGGTTGTTTCGTAGTTGTCGCGGGTGCCTGTGGTTGGGCAAATAACTGTGGTGTCGTTGTGTAATTGTGTTGTTGTTTTTTTTTGTTGTTGCGACCACCTGTGGTTTGGCAAATGAGTGTTGTTTGTTTGTAGCGCTGATGCTTCTATTGGCTTGTTGCGACCGTTTGCGGTTTGGCAAACTATTGTTGTTAGTTCGTAGTGTTGTTGGTTCCTGGCTTGTGGCGACCGCCTTGGGCTCGGGTAGACAGTATTGTTTGTTCGCCGTTTGGTAATTGTTTTGCAAATGCGGCGGCTTGCGGTTTGCCACAAACGTGTGAGCGTTTCATGGTTGTTGTTTTGTTTTCGGCTGTTTCGACCGCTTGCGAGCCGTGTTTGTGCTTCCGCGCAGTTGTACGGTATGAGTGGTGCGTCCAGTCCGCGAGCAAGCGCCCACCCCCCTCCCCCCGCCGCATCGCAACCCAGGGGCGCCAACAGGGGAGGATAAAAAAATGATGTGGGTGAGGAGGATATCGGGAAACATGAGGAAGTGGAGGAGGAGGAGAAAGGAGGAGGAGGTGGAAGAGGACGGAGCAGGAGGAGGACGGAGGAGGACTAGGAGGAGGAGGGGACGAGAAGCAGCTGCAACAGCGTGGCGATTACCCCGTGCACCGGATGCGTTCGCCAAACGGATTTCCGCTCAAGGGAAGGATTCGCCCAGTGCCCAACTTGCATCGGTCTGGCACGTTGCCGACAAATCACAGTCTGTCTCGCCTCGCGCCCTGTTGCAATGGCGCCTAAGAAGAAGCCGAGGACTGCTTCCGGCCCCGCCTCGACGCTGCACTGCGATTTCTGCCAGGAGATTTGCGCTTCGAACTTGGCGAATTGGCCCCACGAGATAGACGACGACACTGGGCGACCAGTGGCCAAAGGCTTGCACTCCTTCAGCCCCCCTACCTTTCGAGGGCTGGTATTTTTGCTCGCAGCACGGCGATCGCAGCAGCATTGCATGTAATTGATGTTGAAACTCCGCAGTGAGCACCACCGCCACCACCGCTACCACCTCCTCTCTTTTTCCCCTGCTAGCATCCTCCTGGAAGGCACCTGCTGCCAGACGTGCTGTGACTTTGCCGACGCCTCGGGCAAGGACATCGGCAAGCTTCTGTCCGAGAAGGCTCGTTCTGGATGTCCCCGCTGGGCACGTCCGTTCTTTCGTGGTTTGGTCGGCCCTATCGTTGTCATCTTTTTTTGTCCCTTTCACCATCACGGTGGCTGTGCGAGTGTGGGTCTTTCCTATTTCCCAAGCGTCAGCCCGCGTTAATCTGAACAGCGAACCCACATCTTCATTTTAAGGGCGAGCGACTTTCCAAGGGCGCCCTTGCATCCGAATACTTGCCTCGTCGGCCCATCGATGGCCTCTTTTTTTCCCTGGCCACGGCCCTCCCGCAAAATGCTGGCGTGGCCTTCCAAGGCCCATGCCTCCTTGCCGCGCGTCTTTGCTATGCGGGTTGACTGTGGATGTCCTCTTCCGCCGTCGCCCTCTTTCTCAGCCCCTTAGATTCCCCGTGCATTCTCCCCCTTCCCGTTATTTTTGCTCCACCTCCTCCTCCCGCGTCCCTTGGCTCGTCGTCCTCGTGTTCCGCGTTTCCATCATGGTTATTCTCGCCTTGTCCTTTTTTTCCTCCTCCCCCTCACCCTCTTCCTCCTCTCCCCCCCCCTGCCCCTCCCCCCCCCTCGCCATGTGAGGGGGGCGCGAAGAAGCGCGCCACGGAACTGACGGAACAACGGGCCGAGTACGCTAAGTCTCTCGACAACCCCGACGGCCGCGACTTCCCGTTGGAGGAGGTATATCTGGAGACCATTTCGGATGCTACCGTGAAGGAGCAACATACGATTGTGAGCAAGTATGACTTCGAATCGACGCACGGCGTCACCGTCGAGGAAGCGAAGCTGCGAACGTTCAAGGGCACCAATGGGAGTGGGCAAGAGATCAGCGGGATCGTCCAGCGCGGCACTGGAGGCGACGTGTTGGAACTATCTCATACCCACAGGGTCGTGCGGAGGACGCCCGCGGGTGAACCTTTGTCCCCGGGCCGTTCGGAAGGGCCCCCCTCCTTCCGAACGGCGGCGGGCGGCGGGTGGGGTTTTCCCGTGGCGCCCTCAAGGAGAGTTCCACGGGTTTCCCACGAGGGTCGAGCGAGAATTCGCGCGGGGATTCCTGTAGGGATTCCGCTGAGCGCCGTGGTTTCCTCCAGGGGTTCCCTTGGGGAATCCTATGTGGATTCCGCGGAGACTCGACTGGTATTCCTGGTCGGATTCTTATAGAGGCCCCACGCTGATTTGTTTATTCCTATTTTGATTCCCAGGTGGATCCTTTCAGGGGGTTCCCAGGGAGAGATTGTCTGGGGAATCCTGCGCGTGTCCCTATGGAGAGTCTTATGGGGATTCCTGCGGGGATTCCAAGTTTGATGTCTGGGGTTGTCATGGGGATTCTCGCGCGGGCCCTCATCCTGTCGGTATTTTAGGGGGGCTCATTTTTTGGGGGGAGTCCAATGGGGATTTATTTCGGGGGTTCTTATGGGGATACGTGTGGGGGCCCATCTTGGGATTCCTAGTGGGATTCTTTTGTGGGTGGTCCTCTGGGGATTTCCTGAGGATTCCTGGGGTGGATGTCTATAGGGATTATGATGGGGATTCCTCTTGAGGGATTCCGATGTCAGGGGGGTCCCACGGGAAATCCTTCGGGGTTTCTCATGGGGCTTCATATGGAGATATGTATTGGAATTGGTGCGGGGATTCCGGTGAGGACCCCAATGGCGGCCCTCATGTGGAACCCAATTGGGACTCTTGGGGGGGGCAGGGGGTTCCTGCGCGAAGGTTTGTATGATTTCTACGGTGCCGTTCACGGTGAATGCCTATGGGGTTTTCCATGGGGAGCCTAATTGGGACTCCGATGGGTGGCCCAACTCAGGTTCCTCTGGGCGTTGCTACGAGAACCCCATGGAGAAGCTCGGTTGTGTCCCGAGGGTGGTTCCTGCAGGATTCTAATGCGGATATATTGCGATTTGACCATGCGGTTTTAACGAGGATCCTTCACTTTTCTTCCGATCCACAGTTGCTGTTGCGCCACTCTTTCCTCCGAGCCCCACCTCGCCGTCGCCCTTGCCGTTGGGCGGGCCCGAAAGGTTAGCATGGACAAAATCGCATTGGTTCTCGCATGCTTGTAGCATCGCCATCTTACCGGTCCCAAGAGCATGGCCCACGGCCCAGAGGGCCCTAATGTCACCCCGACACGACCCTAGAACGCACGAGAGGGGCAGGGCCCAAAAAGTTTCCACGCTTCCAGGACGGCCCAAGAGAGACCCAGAAAAGGGTAAACATACGCGGCGCCAGTGTCCCCCGCTGGGTGCTACGATTGCCGAGCGGGGGCCGTTGTGGTGCGCACAATGCATTTGCAGGTTGGCGTCGCCACAGGTCTTCGAGTGGCCTTCGCGGTGTTGAGCGCCTGCACCAGAACGTGCTACTTTTTTGTTTCATTCGCCTATCCACGGTGGCGTGCCACCACGCGTCGTGGTGCACTTGTGCAGGCCTGTACCGAGGCAGTGCGAACGGTATTAGACCCACGACAGGGTGCGATGGGGAGGGCCCGCCAGATTTACCAACTGCCCCTTTCACTTTACGTTGCATGTGCGCTTCGTGTTAGTATCTCCCACCCCGCGCTGCGATCGCCGAGCGTGGGTCTTTATGGTGCGCACAATGTATTTGCAGGCTGGCATTGCCACATGGTCTTGGAATGGCCCTCGTGGTGTCGAACGCCTGCGTATAGCCACGTCACATTGTCTGTTCCCTTGCCAATCCACAGTTGCGTGCCACCCCGCGTGATGATTCACTTTCGCAAACTTCTTCGAGGTAATGCGAACGATGATGGGCCCATTGCATCTAAGTGTGTGATGGGGGGGCGCCCTGCCAGATTCACCAACGACCCTTTTCACTTTACGTTGCCTGTGCGCTTCGTGCTAGCATCTCCCACCCGGCGCTGCGATCGCCGAGCGTGGGTCTTTGTGGTGCGTTCAATGTATTTGCAGGCTGGCATTGCCACATGGTCTTGGAATGGCCCTCGTGGTGTCGAACGCCTGCTTACAATCACGCCACCCTGCTTGTTCACTCGGTTGTTCACGGTGGAATGCCATCCGGCGTGATCCTGGTTTTCGCCCGCCTTATGGGGAGGATTAAAGGGGGAGCAAGAGGAGGGGGAGGTGGAAACGCATGAGGTGGATGAGGATAATATCATGTGAACGCGAGGCGGGTCAGCCTCCTGGGGCCCGGGGCCTTCTTGGACCCTCGCGGGTGATTCGTGGAAGCATTGAGGAGGCTTCGTCGATCGAATGGCGTTCACCCCATCCCGCCACCGTGCTTGGGTTGTGGGCCCCTGGTCTCTGGGATCATCGTGTGGATCTCGTCGAGGCCTTTCGGGGGCCTCCTGGAAGCCATTTCGATGCCTCTAGGGCGTCGCTTTATCGGAAGGCCACGTCCTGTTGGATTATGTCGTTTTGTTGGGCAGCGGTTCTCGCTTGTTTGTTGGTGTCGCGCTGGTGGTTCAGTTCGTCTTGGTTGGTGTTGCTTTGATGGTTGGCGTCGTTTGGTTGGTATCGTTTCGTTGCTTGGTCTTGTTTGGTTGTAGTCTTGTTGGTTGGTGTCGTGTTGTTGGTTGGTGTCGGTGTCTTGGTTGGTATCGTCTGGTTGGCGGGGTGGTTGTCTGGCAGGGGGAGGGGTGGGGTGCAAGATTCACGCATAAAGCGTTGGTGTTCTGCCTTGAATTTGCTTGCTTGGGGGATCGGGGAGAAAGGATTCACGCATGAAGCCTTCCTGCGTTCGTCTCTCATAGCATGAAACCTTTTGCGGTTGCCTTTGAATTGCTTGCAGGGGGAGCGGGAAGTCAAGGACTCACTCACGAAACCATTGCTATTGCATTGCGTTTCCAGGGGGAGGGGGGAGTAAAGGATTTATGGGTGAAGCGTCGTGCATTTGCGTGTCATTCGCTTGCAAGGGGAGGGGAGAGAAACGGATTCATGGGTTCAGCCTCTGGCCTGTGCCTTCTATGTACACGCGATAGAAGCGGGGGGCAACGGATTCACGCATGCAGCTGTTGATTTTGTTGTTACTTGGTTTGCAAGTGGAGCGGGGGCAAAAGATTCAGGCATGACACCTTTGCTTGTGTTTCCTATGTGCTTGCAGTGGGATGGGGGTAATGGAAGAAGGACCCATGCGTGAAACACAGTACAACACCACCACAACACCAGCCGCACCACCAGACAGACCATCATAGATACCACCAGCCACACCACCTGACCACCAAGTAAGCCACCAAACGCACCAAAAGACCGCCAGCCACACCGCGAGACCACCAGCCACACCACCAGCCACACCACCAGCCACGCCACCAAGAGCACCGCCAGACCAGCAGCCAAACCACCAAGCGCACCACCAGACCAGCAGCCACACCACCAACCTCACCGCCAGCCACCAGCCACGCCACACGCCATGCCACCAGACCACAAACCACACCGCCAAACACACCACCAAACCACGAACCAAACCACCAGACACATCACGAATCACACCATCAGACCACCAGCCACACCACCAACCACATCACCAACCACACCACCAGACCACTGGCCACACCGGCCACCACACCACCAGACCACCACGCACACCACCAGACCACACCACCACAACACCAACCACACCACCAGTCACACTCCCAACCACACAACCAGACCACCAGCCACACCACCAACCAGACCACCAGACCACAAACCAAACCAAACCAACAACCGCGCCACAGGATCACTAGTGTCCAAAAACAATTGAAAAAATATTACCCCTTCCCTCCCCCCCCAAGATCCCGACTGCCACTACTTCGCATCCGAATAACCAAAAGCGCAACATGGGCAACGAACACACAGACAAAAACCAGCGATGCCATATCACGGGCCGGCGGAATGAGCGAAGCGATTCAATAACTAATTCTTATGTGTCCCCCTGGAAAAAATCCCACGGATACCGATCGATGCCGTGTGTATATACCTCGGTACCAGGGAAAATGCCGATGGGGATTTTCCCGTCTTCCGATGAGAGAATGATTTTTTTCATTGGGTTTTCGCCATTGGGTTTTGGAATTCAATTCCGCCGCCGCGCGCGCGCTGGCGATTGGCATTTGTGTATTCAGTGTCGTATGTCCACATGGGGATGTCCCCGTCTCCCGATCAGAGAATGATTTTTTACATTCGGTTTTCGCCATTGGATTTTGGAGTTCAATCTCGCTCACGTTGTACCAAACATACCCGCGGCATGCCGCAGCCGCGCGCGCGCGTTGGCGACTAGCGTTTGAACATTCAGTGTCGCATATCCAATGAGGATGTTCCCGTCTTCCGATCAGAGAATGAATGTTTACATTGGGTTTTCGCCATTGGGTTTTCGAGCTCAACATGGCACCGTTGTATAACATTCTATCAGCGGCATGCCGCCGCCGCCGCGCGCGCGCGCGCGCGCGCGCGCGTTGGTGATTGGCATTTGCGCACTCAGCGTCGCATGTCCACATGGGGATGTTCTCGTCTGTCGACCAGAGAATGAATTTTTACATTGGGTTTTCGCCATTGGATTTTGGAGCCCAATCTCGCTCACGTTGTACCAAACCTACAAGCGGCATGCCGCGCGCGCGCGCGCTGGCGACTGGCATTTTTGCATTCAGCGTCGCATATCCAATGAAGATGTCCCCGTCGTCCGATCAGAGAATGAATGTTTACGTTGGATTTTCGCCATTGGGTGATCGATTTCAACATGGCACCCGTTGCGTAAAACTCTATCAGCGGCATGCCGCCGCCGCGCGCGCGCGCGCGCGCGCGCGCGCGCGCGCGTTGGCGATTGGCATTTGTGTATTCAGTGCCGCATGTCCACACGGGGATGCCCCCGACTTCCGATCAGAGAATGCATTTTTACGTTGGGTTTTCGCCATTGGATTTTGGAGTTCAATCTGGCTCACGTTGTGCCGAGCCTACCC